CATGATTGATAAACTACTGCTCAGGTGCTGATCACAGTAGCAGTACTGCTACTGCTAATATGTTTAAAAATCATCTCCAGTCCAGATCTCTTTTCTGGGTTTCAGAATATCCAATTGTCCTAATTATTTCTTCTTGCATGCCCACGGGCCTCACAAAAGCAATGGATCCCCAAAGGAAAGTTCTGTCCTTTCCCTCAAACTTGAACCTCCTCCAAGAACCCAAACCAAAGACTTAGAAGTCCCCTTGTATAACCTAGTGTAGTGGCGTGTGCCTGAAGTCCCAGCTACTCTGGAAGCTGAGGCAAGAGGATCACTTGAGCCCAGCACTTCCAGGCTGCAGTGAACTATGATTGCACCACTGCACCCCAGTCTGGGTGACAGAGTGAGACACTGTCTCAAAAAAAAAAAAAATTCAAAATCAAAAACTCCCTTTGTCCTACTTGCTGTCTCTAACTCTCTCCCCACCAGGCCTTCCATTCAACCCTCTAATTATGTTCCAAATCTGGCTCTTCCTCCCCAGCCTTAGTCCCATTTTTTTAGGTCAGGTTCTCAGTTTCTTCTAAGAGTTATTGCAACAACTTCTTAGAAGTCTCTTGGCTTCCAGTCTGTAATCCCTAAAATGATTTATTCATTTCTTCATTCGTTCAAAAATTTTATTTTAAGCACAATCATGTGCCACGCCCTTTGCTAGCAGCTGCTCATTCAAGGGAAAACAAAAAAAATATGGCCACTATTTTCAGGGATTTTTAGAGTAAACAATTGCAGAACTGAAGAATTAAACAAATGAATACAAGTGAGAGGTGCAGTGTGCCGTAGTAGCCGGTAAGAAGAGTGCTAGACCCAACCACACAAGTCTTCGGTGGTTGCCTAGAGGGTCACTCATTAGACTCCAAGCTTCAGGAAAAAGGGTTGTGAAGAAAGGTTCTACCTTCTCTAACTCTGAATTCTCCATGGGTGTGCAATAAATATTTGTGGAATGAATCATATTTAAGCTCAGATCTGAAGGATGTATAGAAATGAACCAAAGTAGGGGGAGGGCAGTGTTCTATATTTAAATTTTATGGAATATGTGGGAAACTGAAGAAAATTCTGTCTAGTTTAAACATTGCTTTTTGGAAGTGTAATGAGAGGAGCAGCAATGAGAGGTAATACTGGAGATGTAGCTGAAGGCAGATTGTGTAAGTAGGGCTACCTTAGCATTAACAGAGAAGGCATATCTGATTGTGTCCCTAACCACTTTTAATGTCTTTAAGGTACCCTGTAGCCTACAGGGAAGGTCATAAATAACTGGGAGACCCTCATCCAACCTTTTCAGCTCCTCTTCTGGCTGCTCTGTCAAGGCAGCCTGGGACTCCTTAAACAAGGAAGGAGTTTTTCACCTTGACCTTTGCCTTTCCTACCTGAAGCCCTGTGCTCATCCTTCAGGGTCTTTGTTTAAATAGAACAGTCTCTGCCAAGCCTTTATTAAAATTTCAAATTTTATTATAAACATTTTCAAACATATAAGAATTTGAAAAAAAAATAGGCAATTATCTGTATATTTACCACCCAGATTCAATAATTTACATTTGCCATCTTAGTCTTAGCTACTTTTTTCTGCTGAATCATGTGAAATTCATTTGCAGACATTATGATATACCACACCTAAATATATAAACATGTATCACCTAAACATGCATCTTTTATAAGCACAGTACCATTATCACAACTAAAATATCTAGCAATTATTTAAAAATATCTAATATCCAGTCCTTATGTAAATTTCTCAAATATATTTCTTAGAGCTAGTTTTTCTAACCAACATCCAAAGTTCATTCACTGGGTTTGGTTGTAATGTTTCCTTAATCCCTTTTAGTTTAGAACAGTCTCCCAGCTTTTTGTTATTGTTTGATCAAAAGTTTGAGGCTGAGCACTGTTGCTCACATCTTTAATCCTAGCATTCTGGGAGGGCGAGGGAGGAGGATAGCTTGAGGTCAGAAGTTCGCTTGAGGTCAAGGTTTGGAGACTAGATTGAACAAGAGCAAGACCTCAATCTCTACCAAAAATAGAAAAAAAAAAATAGCCGGATGTGGTGGCATATGCCTGCAGTCCCAGCTACTTGGGAGGCTGAGGCAAGAGGATAGCTTGAGCCCAGGAGTTTGAGGCTGCAGTGAGCTATGAGCTACACTCTACCTGGGGTGACAGAGCGAGACTCCATCTCAAAAACAAACAAACAAACAAACAAACAAACAAACTCAACAAACCCCAACTTGTTCAACTTTTTAAAAGTCGAAGTCAATTGTCTCCTAGAATGCCCTACATTCATCTCATTGTTTCCTCACAGCATCTTTTAATTTATTTCTTATTCTCTTTAAACTAAAAGATAAATCGAAATGATTGATTAGAACTCTTTGATTTATTTGTGTGATTAGATTCAGGTTAAAAATTTTTGGCCAGACATTGTACTTTACACAGGTACTTACACCGGGAGGCGCTCTTCAGGATATCCCACTGCTAGTGAAGATGAAGAGGTGCCCCCATAGTTGTTCTTTCTCTCTTTGCAATTGACAAGCAGCCTTGGGGTGGCAGTTTGACACCATGTGTATATGTTATTTTCCAGTAACCTTTTCCTAGTGGTTTTAACGTCGTTAATGTTCTTTGCTTGGGTCTGTTATTTCTCTGGGTGTTGAAGATGGCGATTGTTCTAATTCTGCCATTCTACATTTGTTAGATGTTTTTGTCAGACTTGTTGATCTTTTTTCTGTCTTCTTTCATCCCCCAGTCTTTCCAAAGGGCTCCCATGGCAACTTGACAATACCTCTGTTATAAAACAGGTAGGTTGGCGCTAAATTGTAAAAGGGTCTGAGGTGTTCGCCCGTTATCGTCGAACACCTGTATAGAGCCTGTAAGGTCTATAAATGGTTCTCATACTTGGCGTCCAAATGAATCACTTACTAGCTGGTTAAAACCCCAAATCCTAGCCCCACCCACAGAGATTCTTTTTTTGTTTTTAATTTTATTTACATAATTTAATCTCTTTTATTTTTTTAAATTTTAAATCTTTATTAACCATCATGAACTTTGACTAAGAGATTCTAATTAGGTCAAGGGTGGTGCAGACTGGGAAGGGAAGCCAGCCTCGAAAGCTTGCATTTTAAAGAAGCTCCCAGGTGCTGGTAATTGGTTCTTGGAACAAATTTTCAGCAGCTCTGATGCAGAGAATGGGCTGTGTGGTGGTATTGTGGAGAGACAGAGAAGGATAAACTGACATTTGGGGGGTGACTAAGCATAAAGCAAAGACAAGGGATGTGAATGAAACATTACATAGAAGATAAAACTGTTAAGGTGAATAGGACTAGATTTCTGATTATCGACTTTAACTGAGAAAATAAAACTAAAAATGGTGCCCGAGCCACTCCGAGCAAAAAAGTGTGCTTGGAGTAGAAACAAGCCACACCTCCTAAGTAACCACGAAGGGATTCGAACCCTCAATCTTCTGATCCGAAGTCAGACGCCTTATCCATTAGGCCACGTGGTCCGCAGCTAGTGATGCTTGCCAATTGCTGAAGGAAAATAATCTTGTCGTGAGCTGCAAATGTAATACTACAGTGAAATCATTACTTTAAACCAAGGAATTTCCAACCCCTGAAAAAATCTTACAGTCTAGTTGGGAGAAGAAGTTTAATCTAATGGTCAAAAATACAGCGAAGTTTCAGGTGGATAACTACAAAGGGCAAGAATATGGTGCTTCAATATCTAATAATAGAGTACTTTATCTGTTCATGAGAATTAGGGAGTAAGGCCACCCTGAAGAAAGATGGTTGAGTTGAGAGCTGCCGAAGAAGAGGCTAAGACATAACTGTATTGCTTTACACACCGAGGGAACCACTGTTGTCTTGTGATGCTTCCAGGTAAAAGATTGTGGGTTAAACACAAGAATTTGCGTATGTGCACTCCTCAAATCCCACTCAAGCAACGTTAAAAAATAAATTCAAGTAGGAAAAAAGTTCGGGAGAGGAAGAGAACAGAAACAAAATTTGGTAATCTGGAAAGACGATTGAAGAGTATGATTGATTGGTCAGCCCCAAGAAAGCTAAATCTTAAACCAGGAGTGGGAAAAGCAAAGAAGCTATAGATTTAGGCCATTGAGCTCCCATCTCCATCTCCTTCCCCATTCCGTTCCTCTATGCCAGGTTCAAGAATTGTCAGCACTAGCTTCATCTGGAAACTGCCTGTGAGAGCTCAACTGGGCCTCCCTCCAACCCCCTCAAATTCATAGGGGGTCGAAGCCCTAATCTCCAGTACTTCAGAGTATGACGGTATTTGGAGACAGATTCCTTAAAACGGTAATTAATGTAAATTGAGATCATAAAGGTGGGCCTTAATCATAAGGGCTGATGTCCCTATGAGAAGAGGACACAGACACATAGAGGAAAGACTAAGGGACAGGATGGCCACTTGCAAGTCAACTTGAGAGGCCTCAGAAAAAAATCAATCTGACTGGCACCTTCATCTGGGAGTTGTAGTCTCCAGAACTATGAAAAAATAATTTCTGTTGTTTAAGCCACCCAGACTAGTGTTTGTTACAGCAGCCCTAGTAAACTATTATAATACACTGCCCCTCCTCCATCCTAGAAGATTGGAAGTTTATTTTCTTGAAAGAGGAAAACATCGGTTTCTATGCTGGAGCAGGGATTTTCAAACTTTCCCCTATATCACAATCACCTGGAGGGTTGATTAAAACATAGACTGTTGGGTCCCACCTCCACTTTCTAATTCAGTAGGTATGGCGTGTGGCCAATAATTTGCATCTCTAAATTCCCTGCAGCTGCCAATCAGGTATCACTTTTTGAGAATCAATGGGGCACGGGGCTACTAGAAGAAAATGGTAAGAGCTTAATGAAACGTTAGCGATTTGTTTGGGGTTATTGTTGTGAACTGCATAGCAGGTGTACGCAACAGAGACCGGAAGTTCTGACTGAGAAGTGAGCCTTTCAGGAAGAGATGCCATTCAGGCCAGGTCCTTGAGGCCCACTAGGTTAAGGATGGAGCGGGTGTGTGGATAGGATTGAGCGCAGGAGGCACCGCTAGGCCAGGTACAGCAGGGCAATGCAATGCTGGAAGTCTTCAGAAGAAGGTGATGTCCAGTGAATTGAAAAGAAAAGCACTAGTACAAACTGCACAGCCGTTCTTATTCCTGTTTTACTGCGGATTAAAACCCAAAAGGTAGATTTTCATGAAAACGGGAAATTTTGACAAATGGAAAGATTGAACATGAACAACTGAGTTTTTCAATGGAGCATTTGGGTTTGGGGTTAATATTTAATCTGGTCAATCCCTTACCTTTACTCAACGAAACCGGAGCGGAGCTGTGGACGTATCAAACTGAATAATAAAGAAACAAATCATTTTGATCAGGGGAGGAAGAAGAAATAATTTTAAATTCTTAAGATGAAAAGTGGTAGCAATTGTGACTTTGTGGTGCAATGGTAGCGCATCTGACTCCAGATCAGAAGGTTGCATGTTCAAGTCATGTCTCTGTCAAATGTGGTACTGTTTTGGGTGGGGGTAAAACTGATTCAGCCTAGCAGCGGACTTTACTGTCACGGACACTTAGTAGTCGGGCCTGGAAGTTGTCGGGACAAAAAGAATAGACTTACCTGCCTTGCCAGTGGAAAAGAAGCCGAACTCTGTAAAACAATTTTAAAAAGATTTATTCAGATTTGAGGGCCATGACCCAGAGACACACCCAAGAAGCCTTGAGCAAGTGGACTGGCTGTAGTTGGGATACAGTTTAGTTTTATACATTTCAGGGAGACAGGGGTTACAGGTAAAGTCATGAATCAATACATGGAAGCATATGTTGGTTTGGCCCGAAAAGGTGGGCCATAACGAAACGGGGAGCTTACAGGTTATAGATGGGTATAAAGCTTCTTTGACTGGTAATTGGTTAAAGACATGAAACTTTGTCTAAAGGCTTGGAATGTTTAAGATAAGGAGGTCTGTTAATCAGAGACAAGCCACTAGACATATATTTGTTGTGTAAATTGAGGACCTGCAGGTTTGTCTTGCATATCATTAGGCCTGTTAATGGATTAAAAAGGATATCTCCAAAAAGGGAGCCTGGCATGGTGAGGCATGTCTGACCTCCCTACTCGTGGCAGGCAATTTAGTTTTAGGATATCCCCTTGGCCAAGACTGGGTCCATTCAGTCAGCCAGTGGCGGGGGAGCCTTAAGATTTTATTTTAATTCACAACTTTCATGGAGTTTCAGTGGAATTCATCTGTTTTGCCCGTGGCTTTCTGTTGGCACTCTAAAATGAAGAACTCCTCTCTTGGACAGTGCATCTTTTGCCATCCTCTTTAAAGGGACAGTTAATCTAAACACTCTCCTTTGGCATCAGAGATCTTAGTCTTCTGTTTCTCCTTTTCTTCTCTTATAATTTCTTTTCACGTCCTTTACCTGCAGAGGACCTCCACGTGGAACACTTAATGTTGGAATGTTGGTGTTTTTCCGAGGCTCATCCTCAGCCCTCTTTGCTTCCTGACTCTTCCTTTGCTTATCTGCCTACAGCATTTTGTGAGTTCTTCTCAGCTTTGTCTCCATCCTCAAGATCTGAGCCAAGAACCTGGAGCATCCTGAACACTACCTCCTCTTCTCATTGAGCAGTGAGTTGTGCAGTTTTTCCTCCTCATATGTTATATCATGTCTGTCCCCTTCTTTCCATTACCACAATGGCTTCTTTGCTTCATCTTTTATCTCTTGCCAGGGATCATGACTTGAATCTCTTAACTCATCTTTCCAAATCTCTTTTGTTCAGTTAAATCAGTGTCCTTATTCTTATTTTTTTAATTAATTTTATTTTTAATCGACAAATCATAATTGTATACATTTATAGGATCCAGTGTGATGTTTTCATAATATTATGCAATGTTGTCTTTAAATGCAAATCTTTTCCTGACATTCTCCTGCTTAAAACAAAAAACAAAACAAACCAACCAACTGTGCTTAACAGTCCTCTGTCTCATTGGCCTTCTTTCAGTTCCCCAAATACATTTTACTTCTTCCCACCAGAAGGCCTTTGCCCCTGCTGTTTCCTCTGTAAGGATATTCTCTGTTTCACGCATAATTGAGACACTCATCTTTTAGGGGTCAACAGTAAAAACCAGGCTGGGCGTGGTGGCTCACGCCTGTAATCCTAGCTCTCTGGGAGGCCAAGGCGGGCGGATCGTTTGAGTTCAGGAATTCGAAGCCAACCTGAGCAAGAGCAAGACCCTGTCTCTACTATAAATAGAAAGAAATTAATTAGCCAACTAATATATATAGAAAAAATTAGCCGGGAATGGTGGCGCATGCCTGTAGTCCCAGCTACTCGGGAGGCTGAGGCAGCAGGATCGCTTGAGCCCAGGAATTTGAGGTTGCTGTGAGCTAGGCTGATGCCACGGCACTCACTCTAGCCTGGGCAACACAGTGAGACTCTGTCTCAAAAAAAATAAAAATAAAAAAACCCTGAGGGTTAAACAAGTCTGTGTATTTTATTGCTACACTCCTAGTGCATGGCCTAATGTCTGATACACAGAAGGTACTTAATAATTTTTGAGAAACTATGGAAGGAGAGGGCATATTTTACTATGGCTTTGCTAAACATCTTTATAAAGGTAGCAGCAGAGTGGTGCAGTAGTAGCATGCTGGTCTGATAACTCAGGGAACAATGAGTGGAAACCATCTTTTACCATGTCTCCTTCTTTCTTTCCCATTAAATGAGCCTATGTAATGAAGGATTAAGGCTAGTTACCCTACTAAGAATGCACTGAATTACAGTATTTTTATGTTACTTAGATCAATGTATTTTGTGACATTCCTTGATACTATCTTTTGCCTTATAAGGAAATGAAAAAGATAAATTTTTCTCTCAAAACAGGAAAAAAGGGATAATTGCCATTAAAAAAAAACAACCAAGAATGCATTTTTTACTTTACTGTATTCCTAAAAGGTATACAGTTATTCTGTCAAATTGTATGCTAGTATTGCACAGCTATACTAGCTAGTATTATTTTCTACGTCTTGCTCCAGACCTCACTGTTAACAATTGTATTAATATTAGTTTGTAGGGTGACCATAACAAACACCAAAATACCACTGACTGGATGGCTTTAACAACAGAAATTTATCTTCTCACATTTCTGGAGGCTGGCAGTCAGAGATCTAGGTGTCAGTCAAATTGATTTCTTCTGAAGCCTCTCTCCTTGGCTTGCAGAGGGACAGTTTTCTCCCACCTTTACCTGGTCTTTCTTCTGTTTGTCTGTGTCCTAATCTCCTTTTATAACGACATCAATCATATTGAATTAGGGGCCACCCATGGACCTCATTTTATCTTACTACCTTATCTCTAGATATGCTTACATTCTGATATATTGGAGGTTAAGGCTTCAACATAAATTGGGGGAGGGGTAAAAATCAGCCCATAAGAGTAATTCAACTGGGAACTGATCCAGGGAAAAGGTGAGACATCATCTATTTAGTTAGATATAGTGCTAGTGTTTCTGTGAGTTTTATGTATAATTCCTTCCTTTTCCAGCTAACACACTGAAGTTGCCATAAATAACTACTCAAGTTCATATTCTAAATAAGGAATAAACCAAATAGGAACTTAGATCTTTCTGACACCAGATTGTGTGGATTTAGCAGCTATTAAAGGATAAATAAAATAAAATTATGACTCTCGCTGAAATATAAAATGAGCATGTGTTTTATTTAACTAAATAATTAATGATTGAGCCCATAACCTATTACAACCAATTGAAAGGAAAATTAACAATACACACAGGCAACCAGGAATACTGAATGAATTCATTAATAGAAGTGCAAAAAACTAAATAAAATTGTACCCCCACCAGCACCAGACCCCTCTCTGCCCAGGGGACGCCAGAAAAAAAAAAAAAAATGTAAAACTGAATTCCTAGCTGTGACAGGATGGAGGGTGTAAAGCACGATTACACATGTGTGTTTTTTCTTTATAAATATTGATGACTCCTCCTATAGCTTTAGTATGTTATGTAACCACCCCTCCAGTATCAAATCCCATTCCCTTTTGTCACTCCCTTGAAAACATATGTTCTTGCCTTATGACTGGAGTAGTGTTTCTCAGTCTGTCAGAATGGCCACTGCAGGTTGAGACTCCTTCACCAGAAATAAATCTATCCTTTTGTACAATATAAACCTCATGTTTTTTCTTTAATTAACAGAAAGAAGAGTGATCCATATCCACAGGAAATAATTCTACCAGAAAACATTCTACCAGGCACAATTCATTTGCATTTTTATGGCTAAGACTTATTTGCATAACTATACATTTTCTACAATTTACAGAGTTGTAAAATAACTCCAAGACAACAGAAGGGTATATAGGTCTCTATGGAATGAAATAGCCCAGAAATGTGCACTAGACTAGACACAGCCTGTATGAGCCTGGCCTGTACTCTGTAATCTTTTTTTATCTATTTCAAAGTCTTTCACAATTTTTCCTATGTTAAAGATAAATGAAATACAATTATTATTTATCAATTAAAAATAAAAGAAATGAAGCTGGATGCTGGTTAAATTGATAAGGACACATTTTAATCAATAATATACTATTGCAATAAGGAAAAGAATGCAGTGCAGCATGAACTGAATTCAACTTCAATTTGTGTAGAGGTGACTGGGCATTTTAAATGGTGAATGAGGGAATAGAGGGGGCTGGTGAGTGGGTCTCAATAGAGTCAGAGATATAAAAAATTATAAAAATTGTCCGGGCGCCGTGGCTCAGGCCTATAATCCTAGCACTCTGGGAGGCCGAGGTGGGTGGATCACTCAAGGTCAGAGTACAAAACCAGCCTGACCAAGAGCGAGACCCAGTCTACTAAAAATAGAAAGACATTAATTGGCCAACTAAAAATATATAGAAAAAATTAGCCGGGCATGGTGGCACATACCTGTAGTCCCATATACTTGGGAGGCTCAGGCAGAGGATTGCTTGAGCCCAGGAGTTTAAGGTTGCTGTGAGGTAGGCTGATGCCATGGCACTCACTCTAGCCTGGGCAACAAAGTGAGACCCTGTCTCAAAAAAAAATAAAAAAATTATTATAAAAATTGGGAAGGGGAGGTTGGTTCATGTGGACCCCATCAGTCTGGGTGTGCTAACTGATCCTTATACAGGGGCCCTAAATTCAGGTGTTGTTTGGAACAAACAGTAAATGCCTTCGGCAGCCTTGAGTTTTCTCAGGCAGACACTTTAAGCCAGAGTAGGGATGTGGTCTTGAGCTGTTAGAATCTATGTTAATGTCTTGTTTTAAGTCTTTATAAGTCAAGGTTGAGGCCTAGTTGAGAGGAGCCTCCAGAGCCTCCAGAGAGGCCTGCTAGAGTTTGGTCAAGGAGAAAATCTGTCATCTGACACAACAGAGATAGTCACAGGATTATTTAGAGTCATAAAGGTGAAAAAATAATAACCCAGAACACTAACAGGAGAGGATTCGTTAAATAAATTTATTGTTTATTATAGAACAAAATATTATGTAGCTCTTAACGTGATATTGAAGAAGAATATCTAATGATATAGAAAGATGCTTAAGACACTTGAAATAGACAAAGAATGTATTAAGCAACTAATTATTGTGTACCATTATAGATCAATCAGATTATACAGTATGATCCATATGGCTGACTAGTGATTACACTACAATTCTAATAGTAATTATTGCTGGTTGTGTGATTAGGCATTATTTTAATTTGCTTGCTTTTGACTGACTTGTATTTCTTAAATATTTTGTGATGAAAAGGTTTTCTTCGAAAAAAGAAAACATAGAAATTATGTAAAAAATTTTACCGAGTTTGTACTCTGTATGTCTTTTTTTTTTTTTTTTTGAGGCAGTCTCACTCTGTTGCCCTGGCTAGAGTGCCCTGGCATCAGCCTAGCTCATAGCAACCTCAAACTCCTGGGCTCAAGCGATCCTCCTGCCTCAGCTACAGCCTCCCGAGTAGCTGGGACTACAGGCATGTGCCACCATGTCCGGCTAATTTTTTCTATATATTTTTAGTTGGCCAATTAATTTCTTTCTATTTTTAGTAGAGACTCCTTGACTGGATCTCCCTCTGGCTCAGGCTGCTCTCGAACTCCTGAGCTCCAATGATCCACCCGATCCACCCTCCTCAGCCTCTCAGAGTGCTAGGATTACAGGTGTGAGCCACCACGCCTGGCCTGTGTTGGAGGCAAGGCCCCTATGACTCGTCCTACTCACGGGCTTCGCCCTGGAAAATTCCCGAAAGGAAAATAGCACTCCACCCTCCACCTATAGCTCCGAGAAGAATGCATTCCATGACGTGCTGACCACGGAATGCTCCAGGGAGTGCTAACTGCAATTGTTCCCGACCACCTGCCAGGTTGGGGTTGAGTAATCAGTCACAAACAGCTTCGGTATGATACCGATAAGACGCTGATTGGGGCTGATTGCCCCAGACCCAAGCCTCATCTACACCCCACTCTATTTTTCTGTTTCTACTTCCTTGTTTCTGTATGCTTATAAAACCTACAAAGAATCCAAGTAAAGTAGACCTTGACAACCCTTTGCTTGGTCTCGTTCCTTTCTCTCGCCCATCTCTTTCAGGCACGGTCCCCCTTGACCCCACGAGTAACAGAAGGTCCCGCGGGCTGGGACAGGCCTGTACTTTGTATATCTTTTTATGGAAAGACAAATGACACACAAGGTTTATGCTCTGGGAGAAATAGCAGTCCAGTGGTAAAGGTAGACAATATCAACTCATAAATAACATAAACCATAAAATTCACCAGGATAAGCCTAAACTTGACCCAGATATATTACAGAGATATAAGAGTGATAGCCTCTAACTGATAATGTTAGTGACAAGAGTACAAACTGTGAAATTTATGGAAGAATTCACAGAATGTGGACACCAAAGCTGGATTTTGGATGGTAAATGAGAGTTATCTATGATTTAAAAAAAAGAATGGGAAGTTAGAGAAAAGAACCTATATATCAGTGTCAGTCTAGGTAAATGCAGTTTTGCTTGTTTTTACATATATTTCAGAAAAAACTTAGATTTCTCTGTATCAGGAAAGATGCAATCAGTGGATAGTTCAACTCTAATTGTTGAGTTTTTGCAAAACAACACAGAATAATGTAGAAATTGCCTTTAAAAAATAACCTTGGGCAATTCATCTGGCTTTATTATAACCTGGATGAAATATCCCTCAAGAGCACTGATTTTCTTTGCCTCTGAAGGTGTTAAAAGAGAAATTGCACTGAATACTTGTTAAAAAATGGCAAGACATTTTATGGGAGCTACTGCAGTATGGAAGAGAGACCAGTACACAACTGAACTCAACTCTGAATAATAGCATGAACAGCGGGAGATTTATAGTCAATGGGGGTGGAGCGGAAGGGAGCAGGGGGTGTCAATGGATGAAAAATTACTAAGAGGGCTTGGTTAGATATCAAGGGTGGGAGGATTCTTGACATACTGGCTTAGCAGAATTGTTGTAAAAATTGGACTAGGATATAGACTAAGGCCTAGCCGAGAAGAGGGCTCAGAGGAAACTGATAAAGTTCAAGAAGGAAGCCCTTTGCCAATAGTATCAGGCACCATTTTAATTTACCTTTCTAGCCCCTTGAGGTGTGTATGAAGGTCAACTACTTTAAACTCCATTTACATATAAATAAGTACTAACAAAATTATGCAATTTGACCAAGTTTCTGTTGCTCCAGTTGGAGAAGCCTAGTTTATATCCTAAATTCTTTCATGTTTTTGTGTGTGTTAGGTGGCGGATGGGCCTCTTGATATGTTGCCCAGGCTGATCTTGAACTCCTGGCCTCAAGGGATCCTCCTGCCTCTGGAGCAGAAAGTGCTGGGATTACAGGCCTGAACTTCCGTATGGGACTCGAGTGCTTCCTTTAAGCAAAACAGTAATTGCCTCTTAATTTGCTACTGCAGCTTCCTGGCTTTCCTCCCTTTCAAAGCATCCTAATCCTTGCTGCCACGTAAGTCCTCCCATTAACATGGCACTGAAACTTTTCTATTCCAAAGAAGAGGTGAAAAAGAAAATAGACTGAGATAGAGGCATATGAGGCTTTTGCATGACTTATTATCCACTCTATCACACTCCATTACCTTCCTGAAACCCAGACTTAAGACTTGATAATTTATTTTTCGTTGTTCGTTAATGGTTTTCTCCGTGTCAATTTTTCTCCAAGCCAACTGAAAAGTACTAAAAAATAGGAGCCATACCTCCTGTGTATTACCAGGCTCCGTTTTGGCTTTTGGTTTCACAGCGCCACTACGATCAGCAACTAGTGATCATCCACTCCATGGGCAAATAAGAGGTATGTATGTAGAATTCGAAAGAATCCGTACGTTCACAATGTTCACGTTATTATTCCCGCTTCCCTTCATAATACTCTCCTTGCCAAATTTGAGTCTTCACAACCAAATGACAATGCAAGTTTTTTTTTTCCAAAATGAGGTAACTTGGTGTTTCAGAGTTGAAGTGAGTGCTTTGACATGAATTGGCTTGCATTCTAAATGAGAGATTTTCAGCATTTGATTCCTTAAATATTTAAATTGGGGGAGGAATAGAAAAGGACACTATATAGTCGGGTATTTAGAGGCCGTTTTCATCCTGAAAAGTCTCCAAGAATCATATTTCAGCAGATTTCCTGATTCCTTTTAGTTCACATTTTTTTCAGAATATTTAGATATAGTTTTTTATTTAACTGAATTTAAGAACATTCCAGAGAAAGTGCAGTTCTACCGTTTTACTAAACTCGGAAACAATATAAACACAACTATATAATGATAAGGAAAAACAGAAAATTGCTAGAAAGCATTGGTGGTTCAGTGGTAGAATTCTCGCCTGCCACGCGGGAGGCCCGGGTTCGATTCCCGGCCAATGCAGCATGTGTACTTTTCTGAAAAATTATTTTCGAATGAACTCACAAAGCGAGAAATGTTTGAAGTAACCATGATTCCGTGCAGTATCCGTGGATGGTTGAAAGCAGCCGGAGCTTTTGCAATTTCACGTTTAAAAATTATGTCATGGCCTGGCGTAGTGGCTCACACCTGTAAGTAATCCTAGCACTCTGGGAGACCGAGGCGGGAGCATGGCTCAAAGTCAAGAGTTCAAAACCAGCCTGAGCAAGAACGAGACCCCCACCCCCACCCCCACCCCTTCGTCTCTACTAAAAAAAAAAAAATAGAAAGAAATTAATTGGCCAACTAAAAATATATAGAAAAACTTAGCCGGGCATGGTGGCGCATGCATGTAGTCCCAGCTACTCA